ATCTACACCTTCCAATAAACATAAATATAGTCAATTACATATACTTACATCGTTTTACATCCGACTACACTAATTTTCTATATAGATTGTTATAAAAGAACAATAATAACTATTTTAATCACTATCCTATTACAATCATCATCACAACAGAGCCACTTATGTGAAAAAACAATTAGAATCATAAGTTCTATACATTTCATCCCATGGGAACCACATCTACACATAAGAATGCAACAACAAACATGTAACACTAATGAACAGATAGTCAGCACGCCACATTAAACAAACAAAATACAGTACCAAACTAGATGATCTACATCAAGCCATAATACACCATCACTAGGAAATCTAATCTGTCCCCTCCTCACCACCTAAATCATCATCACTAGAATCACTAGAAGAGGTTGAACAACTGTGACCACCAGCAACATTGGGAGCATTCGCAGCTTTGGCACCTAAATTGGGAGCATTGGCACCGACATTGAACATTTTCCCACCGTATATTAGATCTTTGTAGCGATAGTCTTCTTCAGAAGCACCACAAAGGCTGACTTTACTCACTTTGCATAAATACATATCACATGAACCGACAGTCAAATGTGGACCTTTGATTACACTTTCATCAATCTCATCAGGAACCACAAAGACGACAGTGTCATGACCCAATCAAAAACAAACTTGAAGTTCAACAGACTGACAGAAGGTGAAAGAGAATAAACTCCACGAGAAGCAAACTTAACTTTCTCCCAGTCAAAAAGTCCACCAGGCAGCCCTTTTGCAACATAAACCTTAGATTGAATCCCCTCATCAAGGCCAAGGTACTTGTTTACACCAAAATTTGGAAGAAGAATTACAGGAACTCGAAAGCTCCCAAGATCATGTCATCAAGGAATCGATTGCATGAAGGTTGGTATCAGCTGATTCGAATGCAGCACTGGAATCAGCTCTCTTCAGATAGCGCCAGCAGATAACGATAAAAGCTACAATCGGCGCCAGGAAAAACATGTTGGACTCTACAAAAAGGGAAAGATTAGGATCTAAGTTATCTTAAATTAGGAATGTTTTCTCTTATGCCAAAGATTGTAATGAGTCGTGCTTAAGTAGGATTCATGTGTAGGTTTCGGGTATAAATATTGGACCCTGACTATTGTAAAGGACACAATCAATCAAACACAAGTTACTTACTTTTTCGGCTCCGGCCACCTCTTAGGAGTAGGAGTAGAGTATATCTCGGCGAGTTCTTCAGCGAGCAGGGCCGCATCGGTCCGGCCGACCTCCGGCTTGTCTGTAAGTACCGTCATGGCTTATACTTCTGTTTGTACGGCTGCATCGATCCGGTCGACCTCCACTGTGACTCTGGTATAAGCTAGTTATCGACTCTTGTCTAGTTCAAGTATGGCTACATCGATCCGGTCGACCTCTACTGCTCAAACTAGATTAAGGTCAAGTTATCGGCTCTATCTAAGGGTGACGTTCTTCAGGTAGATTCATTAAGTTACTGATCTTGCTGATGATTTCATTGTTATTAGTTTACATCAACATCAATTCGCTCGGTCGAGATCGAATTAGATCGGCATCATATCCTTTAGATCCATCGTTCATTTGTTACAACACGATATTATCTACCTTGAACGACGGTTTATGTTTTATTGGCTGTTTTACTTCGATCTTGATTGGGCATAGTACGCGGGAAGAGAGAGAAGGAAATGTTTTTTACACGAAACTATGTCTATATAGGAACCAATACATAGAGAGATATGATAGATAGATGATAGGACAAAGATGATATGTGATTGGACAAAATTTATTTTGAAGGAACCATCCGTTGGAAATATGGTTTTTTTTTTTTTAAATTACAATGTAAACTGTAGACACCCACAATACGTTCGCACAATCACCCGTATATAAATACATGACATAAACCCTACCCATATGAGCACCTCCGAAGGACTGAACCGGTAGATCTCGAGATTCACGAAGTCACCGCAAACGCCGTTAAATGCTGAAATAAATAAAAAAAATACGAGCACCTGTGCCAAGTCGAGGACATGTAGTGTCTATAAGTATATAAACTATCTGTCGGGTTCATAAACCCAGGGTCCCTTATGGACCGGCTTCCCAACAAAGGCTCGGCCCAGCAGACAATGTTGCGAACGACGCACAACTCTTGGGCCGGTCCAAACACCTAAACGACAGGCCAGAAGGACAATCCAATCTCCGATCAGAAGGCCTGGCCAAGGAGGAACGGTGCCCGCTTTCGACTCCGGCCCGCCTCTCCGACCGAAGGCCTCACAAAGGAGGAACATCACTCGCTTCCATCACTGGCCCACCTCCAGACGGCCTCTCCGACCGGAAGGCCTGGCCAAAACACTACTTCCGACTTCAACCCGCTTCTCTGACCGGGAATGCGCCGAACCCCTGCTTACAGCTCCTCTCCGACTGGCGAAATCAGAGCCGATTGGGACCAACCGACCGGGGACGCCCGCTCGGTAAGGACCAGGGAAATGGACGGAGAAAGTAAAGCAGGGCACTCAAGTCAACCGCAATACCAAGGAACGTACCCTATACACCTGCAGGACAGTACCCTGCGACCTCCCTAGCATAATAGAACTCAAGCAGTGTTGTAGGCGTCGACATTTTCCCTACAGTGTTGTGGGTGACATCAACTCCCATACCAGACAAATACGGTAAGGCTGCCCCCACATGCCTCTGGGCATCAACAGTATTGTGGGCGCCGGCATTTACCATACTAGGCGAACATGGTAAAAACTCCTACGTGCCTTTAGGCATCAATAGTATAGCAAGCACTGACGTCTGCCATACCAGAAGAAGACGACGCGACCTCCACGTGCATCTGACATTAAACAATATTATGGGCGCCTACCATCATCTTGTATCTGCCGGCGTGGGCAACAAGACTTAGTAGCATACGCACTCTCTCCCTCTCACTTGTAAGGCCATCTCCTTCATCTATAAAAGGGGATACGCTCTCTCCCAAACAGATAGATCGATCAGTTCACTAGCCCACAACAACAGAACCACCAGGTTCAAACCACAAGCACACGCTCGAACACTTAGCACACAGTGGAGCTCCCGTCACTCTCGGCCCCTCGGACCAGAGTCCGACCGGACCTCTTGTACTTCCCATCTTTCCCCTTCTTGTTTGTAACCCCACTACAAATTTCGAACACCTAGGCTCAGGAATAAAGTCACCGACCGACTCAAACTAGACGTAGGGCACGTTGCCTGATCCAGTATAAACCCTGTGTCATTGAGTGCTAGGCTAGCTCCGATCACAACGTACGGCAAAACTACAAATATTTACGTGTTGGTCACTTTCTGCACCGACACTATCTGTTAATTTCTAGGTTAAGACTGCCCTAATACTCCCTCTGTCCTGAAATACAAGGTATCCAAATAATTTTGGGGCCAACTAAAGAATCTGGCAAAAGACTAATATGTCCCTCACTTATTTGTATAAGGAGATTTTTTTATCAAACTGCTAGAGGATATTTTTTTGTTTTCATAAAAAATAAAAATAAAGAGTTACTTTACAAAAGATAGAGCATCTCTAAGAGACTTTCTAAATCTTACTCTCCAAAAGACTTTCTAAATCTCACTCTAAATCATGATATGAAGAGTCATTTACTAAATCATAATATGAAGAGTCATTTACATAAAAATTGTTTTTTGTGTGTACTCTAGAGAGACTATTCTTGTTTTTCTAGTTTTAGCTAGCGAGAAATCCGAAATAGTAGATATAGAAAACGTCCAATAGCTTCTTTAATTGTTTATCCAAATAAAGTTATCTTTTATTTCGAATTTTTCGCTAGTCAAGGAAGCGAGAATGATTCTCCCTAGAGTGCAAATAGAATATAGAAAACCTGTTGAAAGAGCAAAAAGATATAAAAATTGATTTTTTATACCACGACTCTTCGAACAATGGCTGTGTTCGGCTGAACCAAAAAATCACTGTAGCGGCTGAAAGTTACTGGTCACGGCTGAATCTGTGAGAGAAAAATACTATTCTAGATGAAAAAAAAAAGCGCATCCAGCTGGGTTCTAGACGGTGAGCATTATTAAAAAAAATAACTTTGGAATGATAGAAGGAATGTTCTTCTTCCTTTCCCCTCTCTCTCTCTCTCTAAGCCTCTCCGCAACATTTGGCATCCAATCTCTCGCCTGCACCCGGGGGTTCCCATCTTCCCCCGAAAGTCCGAATCTCGCTGGTCGCCTCAAAGGCCCGAACTCACCGGCGCGGCGCTAGCGCTCTTGCCTCCCTCCGCCGTTGCTTCTCAGCTGAGCCTGTGATTCCACCGCTCTGTGCTCCTGCCACTTTTCAACCCCAACGAAGTTTTGTGTAGACTTCGGTTTGAAGAAAAGCTTGGCCGACAACAACAATATATCATGGTATCATACTGTAAATTAATAACATTCATTCGATCCTTGTTTTTACGATTCCTGATCTGTTGTACTTGTGCTTTCTAGTTTCTACCTTTTTAATAAAATTCCAGTAGGGGGCAACCTCTCCTGTTTCATAAAAAAAAACATTCATTCGATCCCTGCGAATCACATCCCCTCTCATTCTCGTTTCGGTTGCACTTTCCACTCCACAGAAAACTGCACTGTCAAAAAAAGTCCGTATGAACAACTGGAATTTTCATTTGTGAAAACAAAACCTCTAAATATGTTGATTTGGTTGTTTGTTTCAGGAGTGGTGAAAAGCACGCACTGTCAAAGCGAGAGCAAGCAAAGAATTTTGATTGTGAAAATAAAACCTCTAAATATGTTCGATTTCGTTCCATAAATCACAGAAGGTGCTTCGGTGGCATTGCAAAATTCCAATCATCGTTCTCATCCAGCAGGTGCAGGTGTGGTCAACCCCGACGCGGTGCCGCAGCATGCGTCACATCTAGTTGGCCTCTGCTCCTGGAATTTCAGATCTCGCTCTATAAATCACTGAAATTCAGCAGCCTGTTTCTTTCCCGTCATATCTGACAATGGTTGCGGTCGGGGAGTTGCTAGCCTCTGTCGCGCTGAAGACGGTTTTGGGCAAGCTGTCTAACCTCGCCTTCAACGCCACCTGGAACGACATTGCTTTGCAGCTGAATTTCATTAAAGATTTGAAGAGCATCAAGGACAACCTGTCCTTTATCCAATCTTTCCTTGAGGATGCGGAGAGGCAGTCGTCAAGGCTGGAGAGCGTCTGTCACACGCTTAAGAAGCTCAAGGCTGTGGCTTATGACTTGGAGGATATGCTGCTACTCTTCGAGTCCTGGACCACCGCCCACAAGGGTGAAGGCCTTGCGCTTAGCGCCAAGGCTACAAAGGTGAGTTGCCACTTGCCAGCTACTTCAAAGCTAAACTACAGTAGCTTAGAGCATTTCCAAGAGTTTCCAAAACCCATTCCCAGTCTAGATTTTTTTGGCAAGATTGAAAAAACTGCTCTAGGAAGGGCGGGCCTGGTGCAAGCGGTAGAGTCTTACCGCCTGTGACCGGAAGGTCCCGGGTTCGAGTCGCGGTCTCCTCGCATTGCACAGGCGAGGGTAAGGCTTGCCACTGACACCCTTCTCTAGACCCCGCACAGAGCGGGAGCTCTCTGCACTGGGTACGCCCTTTTTTATTGAAAAAACTGCTCTAGCCTACCCCAACTTGCTTGGGACTGAAAGACTATGTTGTTGTTGTTGTTTCTTGAAAAAACTGCTCTCCAACAACTCTCTACCTCAACTCTCAATCTTTCCGCACTTGGGAAATTCGACCTAATCGTGCGCGTATCCATGGGCCAATCTAAAGGTAGAAGGACGTGGGGAAGAATAAAGAGTAGGACAGCAAGAGAGAAAGAAAATATAAAGTGGTTAGGATGATTTAGAAATAGTCCGTGATTCTTGGTGTAAAATTGTCTTCTATATTTTATAACCGAGATTTTGGAAACTGTTGGAGGAACCCAACAAATATGCTCCCAACTTTCTTTAGCCACTTGGAAAATATATTGATTTACAATTGCTTTTTTAGGAACTATTGGAGATGCTCTTATGATGAACTTGTTTCTGACCCATGCCGTTTATTGACAACAGGGGTTAGTTTTATGCTTTGAAAGGTTGAAGATGCCTTATAAAATGAAAAGAATGAGGGAAACCATAGAGGAGATAGTAGACCTTCAGAATAAATTCAACTTCATAGAACACACTAGCAACAATGATGAAGAAGTAATCAGGAAACAGGAGACATTCTCAGATGCTGATGAAGTCCCTGTTGGGAGGATGGAAGAAAAAGAAAGATTAATCAGTATGCTGCAAACAGATGACTCAAACTTCCTCATTGTTTTTATCTCTGGCTTCGCAGGAGTTGGTAAAACTACTCTTGCCCAGATGGTCTTCAATGATGATAGAACGAGGCAATTCTTTGAAATCCAAGCATGGGTCTATGTCTCTGTAAAATTTGATATCATGACCATCGGTCAATCTATCATATCCCAACTAGATAAATCAAGCAGCCCTGCTGGTATCACCTTACAAGCTACACGCGACCGCTTGAAAACTATTCTAGAAGGGCAACAGTTTCTTATTGTTCTCGATGACATATGGGAAGAAGATCCACATGAGTTGGAAAAACTAAGGACATTGCTGCGGGGTGCTAAAGCAGGCAGCAAGATCATTGCAACCACACGCAGTGTAAAAGTTGCTAAGCTAATGAATGGGAGTTTGACAATAGAATTAGGTGCTTTACCGGACAATTACTGCTGGGAGTTGTTCCGAGCAAAGGCATTTCCATATGGAAAGGTGGATGTTGATAAGGAAAGTACAGGAAGACAGATAGTCAAGAAATGCAGAGGAATGCCACTAGCAGCAATTTCTCTCGGATACCTTTGCCGGACAACTAATGAATGGAAAGCTATACTGGATAGTGATATCTGGGCAGAAAATGGAGATGATGGACGGTTACTCAAAGATACGAAAGTGCTACCATCACTGAAGCTTAGTTATGAATACATGTCTTATCATCTCAAGCTCTGTTTTGCATATTGCGCTGTTTTTCCCAAAGGCTGGTATGTAGAGAAGAGTAGCTTGATTCAGCAGTGGATTTCTCTTGGATTTGTTCAGCTCCATGGCGAATCATTCACTGCACAACAAGCTGGAGAAAGATACTTTGAGGATCTTCGTGAGATGTCTTTTCTTCAGGATGTAGCTGGAATGTCCCCAACTGTAAGACTTTCATTTTTCTTTACTTTATTGGAGATCAAAGTTCTATTTACATAACCTCATCTAGTTCCATTACCCCCTACCCCCCAAAAAAAAAATGGCAATCCACGTCGATTCATCTGTACATGATCTAGTCACCCTCTGTTAGAGGTATTTTACCTCCATGATTCTATTATTGTATTCCATGTACTCAAATCTTATAGAAGTCACATAGGATTCTAATATGTTATTTTAGATATAAGGACATTTTGGGTTAGATATGTGCGTAGTAGTGGTGTGGGCAATTCCTCAAAATGCATATGGGTACTTTGATTTTCCACGCCGAGGTACTTTGATTTTGTTCTCTTATTAAATTAGTACTGAATTCTAGGCCGTGAGAATTAATGTGGAGGGTTCTTTTGTTGAAGAAATACTAAGATAATATATTTTGAATCAATGTTATTAAATTGGCTAATTGTTGCTAATCGCCTTGGTACGGATAAGGATGATTAGGACGATTAGTCAACGATCAGGACGATTAATTAACCTCTTATCGGTCTAGTCGTCCATATAATCGTCCTGTATATAGCAAGACATATATCATATATGTATGGTATATATACCATATACTATATACTTATATAGTAGAAATCGAGCATCAAGACTATGTTTCTGGTTAGTTGGTGGAGAGAGTGAGGAGGAGGGGAAGAGATGCAGCTGCACACACAACAAGTGCAGCCGACGGCTGGAGGCTGGGGGTGAGGACTGAGGAGGTGAGGGAAAGAGTGGGGGAGAGGTATAAAAGAGAAACCCTAACGGGCCTGGCCCAAACAAAGCTAGCCCAGTCTAAAGTACACCTTATCGGACGATTTATCGCGATTAATCGACGCTAAATCGGACGATCAGGTTTCTGATCGCTCTGATCGAATTGGAGTGCCTAATCGAGTACTGTACTAGGTACCGATAAGGATGATTAATCGGACGATCTGATAACATTGTTCTGAGTACATTAGTACAGAGCATGTTAAATTCTACTAAACAAATGGGTTAGGCATAGCTTTAATAACGAGGGATACATGTGTCTTGTCCTATCCGTCTTAAACTGTCCTAACAATCTCAGAATCCCTTTGTATAGTTGTATTTGTGTGGAAGTATTTAGTGAGAATTTTCTCTTAAAGTTCATGCCCAATTTATGTTTACTTTTGTTTTTTTTATAATATACATGATGGTTAATATATGTCTGAACTGCAGAAGGTAGTTGACTAACATGGGTACATTTCACTTTTCAGCCGTTTGCAAGATATAGCAAACCTCGAGGTGTATTATTCCAGATGCATGATTTGGTTCATGAGCTTGCAAGATTAGTTGCGGGTGACGAAGTTATTGCCTATGACACTAGGCAGCAAAATCCTCCTACAAATATAGACAACTGTCGATACATGTTGCTCTCAAACTTATGTGACTCATCCCCATCTTATTGGTCTATTCCTAGCACAGCAAGAGCTCTTCATTTTAAGGAGTGCAGCATTGTTCAGACTACTTTAAAGTCTCTGATGGGAGCTGAATTCTTACGCGTGCTTGATTTGAGTGCATGTACTATTTCCGAGCTACCTGCTTCTTTCGGCAATTTGAGACTCTTGAAGTTCTTGAATATATCTGGAATGCAAACTGGTCTGCTGCCTAAGTCCTTGAGCTCATTGCATGGTTTACAAGCATTGAACCTTTCTGAAAATACCTGCCTTGTTGAACTTCCCAGTTACATTTCTGAATTTGTCAACCTACAATATTTGGACCTACATGGCTGCTCAAATCTTAAAGAGCTTCCACAGGACATTCATAAACTTGAAGAGCTACTACACCTGAACGTATCAAGATGTGGTAGCCTACAATCACTGCCTGAAGAGTTTGGGGAGCTCCGGAAACTTGCATTCCTCGACCTTTCATATTGTTCTCAGCTTCAAACGCTGCCTTCAAACTTTGGTGGCCTTCAGAATCTTTCGTTTCTCAATCTATTGCACTGTTACAAACTTTGTGAGCTGCCTGATTATTTCATTTACCTTGCAAATATGATACATCTAAATATGTCCTTCTGCCACAAGTTGAAACTACTGCCTAGTGGGTTATTTAAGTACATGAAGAAGCTTTTGGTTTTGAATTTGTCTGGTTGTACCTCTCTTGAAGTTCTTCCTGAATTGTGCTGGAATGATGCTGGCTGCCTGATGTTGGAGATTTTGGACTTATCAGATTGTACTAATCTGGCTGCCCTTCCGAATTCCTGTACCAGTCTTTGTGAGCTCCGGTGTTTAAATCTATCAGGTTGTTCTCGAATTCAGAACTTCCTAAATTTGATACCGCACTGGAAATTTGGTAAGTTGGAGTACCTAAATCTCTCCGGGGTCGGTGCAAAAGCTTATTCTGAAGATCCAGGAACCTCTGCAGGAAATTTAGAGAGTTCAGAAGACCCTAATAGAGAGCTAGAGTTAGGTATGCTGCAAGAGGATATCGTCACCCAACGTTTGGTTTGTCTTAAATACCTGTCAGTTGGAGGGTTCACGCTCTTCTCAGAACAAGGCATTGCAAGCTTGGTAGACCTTCTAACCTTGCCCAACTTTGATGTACGGACACAGCCCGGTGACAACCACAGCAATATTATGCTTCTCCAGCAGATCCTGGATCTCACTCAACATGAGCTAAACATCAAATGCCTTGAGAATGTGGTGTCTCCACAGGAAGCAAAGCAAGTGGAATTGGGCAGGAATCCACAGCTTCATTTCTTGAGTTTTGAATGGTCTTCGTTTTTGTCTTCTTTGCCACCTGATGGGGTTTTTTCTGAAGAGGAAAAGGCTACGGCAGTGTTGGAACATTTCAGGCCGCATTACAATTTGCAATGCCTCTCTTTAAAAGGCTACAGGGGTACCCAATTTCCTAATTGGGTTGATAAGATAAATGATACGCTACCGAATCTTGTGAAAATTGTATTATCTGATCTCAAGGGATGTGACTATATTCCTGCATTGGGACATTTACCAAATCTACAAGAACTGGAAATCAATAATATGCCCCTGCTTCATGTACAAATTGTACCGTGCAAGAAGCTAAGACGATTGACATTGGTTCAACTGCAATACAATACCACCGTATCTATATTTTCTGATGACAGCATACGAACAAAAGTAAATGAGGTGGGAGTAATTAATGACCATGATGAGGAAGAGAGCAAAATGGGAGAAGAGCCTGACAAGTTACCTGGTTCTCTTCCTATAAATAAGCAAGTGAAAAAAATGGCTGTGGCAGCAGGACTTGTAGCAAAGGGTTGGTTGAAAGCCGCAGCCTGTGGCATGTCGAGAGAAACAAAGAGAGCGCAGGACATCGGTGCCGAAAATGGTCCACCTGCAGTTACCAGTAGGCCGCCACTGGCTCCAGGTCCATCGAATGAAAGAACAGAACAGGCAGTCCCTATGCTTGATTATTTCAAGATAGAAAGCTGCAAGAAAATAAAATTGTATCCATACATCCCAATGAGTAAAGAGTACGTCATCAGGGAATGCAGTCTTAACATGGATCATATCAAGGATGATGTTACAGATATCCAACATTATACATATGAAATATTTCAGTCAACCCTCACATTCAAATCAAAGATGTCTATTGAGAGGTGTTCCGAACATGATCTTAATCAATGGATTAGAGTTGCAAAGAGCAACATGGATCTTCGGAAACTCAAGATAGCAAGATGTCACATGTTTCGTCCTCAAGTATTTCTGGTATTCTTTACATCAGTACAAGAACTTGTACTTGAATTTGATGAAGAACCTGGAAACGATAACATCGGCGGTTGTTTCGAAAAAAACGTTAACATCTCCGACATGAACTCAACTCTGTATAGGTTGACCAGATTGGAAAAAATAACTTTACCGTCAGAAAAATATATTTACCAACTTTCCTGTCTGCAAGGTATTCCATACGTCAATACACAGGAGGTAAGTTCCCATCGTTTCATTTTAGAATTTGAGAAAGATCTTATCCAATTCCGCAGCATAATATTTAAGCTTATTTTCTGTTTCAACTTGACATGGTATATATGATAGAATTCTGTAGCATCATTTTTTCTCGAACACACAGGAGAATTGCGTATCATTGTATTAATAGAAGAAGAGAGTCATACATAGACCCAAACCCACACACACCCACAAGTACATGGAAACTAAATCACCGGTTAAAACAAAAGGACGACCCAACAGCTACAGCAGCCTATTAGGCTGCTCCTCCGGCAATGAGAAGGGAGATCCCTTTAGCTCCTGCCAGGCTCCACCAATGGGCCTCTTCCCTTGCCAAAACCAGAACCATATTAACATTTGGGGTTGCACCATTGAAAATGCAATCATTTCTATGCCGCCATATGCTCCAGGCTCCCAGAATGACTAGGGAATTCAGACCCTTCCTCAAATCCCCACTAGCAGCATTATCAACTTTTCTCCACCATTCATCAATGGAATGGTCAGAAGGTTGTGGAGCAAGTGATGCAACGCCAAAATGTGACAGGAGGGAGAACCAAAAGTCTCTTGAGAATACACAGCCCACAAGAAGATGATGAATATTTTCCTCCTGCTGATCACATAGAAGACACTGTTCTGGATGAGAGAGACCCCTCCTTGCCAATCTGTCCGCTGTCCAACATCTGTTGTGAGCAACTAGCCACATGAAAAATCTGCATTTGGGGGGTGCCCAAGATTTCCAAATTATCTCAAAAAGTTCAAAGGAGATTGCTCCCTGAAATAGGGTATCATAAACGCTCTTTGTTGTATATTGTCCCGAAGAAGATAACCTCCAGATATGCTTATCAGGGATGTTATCATTCAACTCCACCGAATTCATGATGTCCCAAAGCTCTAGGTACTGAATCAAGCCTGTCATACATATTTCATCCTGAATGTCTTCTATCCATTTCTCCTCAGTTAGGGCCTCCAGCACAGTCCACTTATTTAACCTTCTTTTAGGAACCAGTGCAAAGACAAGAGGTGCTATGTCCTGAATTCCCTTACCGTCCAGCCATTTGTCCTCCCAAAAAATTGTATTAGATCCACTCCCCACCTCTGTTATCACAGCGACAGAGACGAGGCTAGCTACCTCTTTACTGCTGGGCACACTCCGCTTAAGCCACGGCCATCTTGCTTTTAAGGCAATACCCAAAGACTTTAGATCTGCTATCCCAAGACCACCCGGTTCCTGGGAGCGGCACACTTTAGGCCAGGCAATGAGGCAGTGACCACCCTTTGCTTCTTTTCGGCCCTTCCACAAGAATGCCCTTCTGATCTTATCTATGGTTTTGATAGCCCAAGGCGGAAGATCAGTTTGCCATGGCCACATAGATTAGGATTCCTGTGAGAACATACTGTACTTGAATTACTCTGCCAGCACGTGTCATCAGATCTGCCTTCCATCCAGGTAGCTGATCTACAACTTTGTCAATGATGGGTTGGACCTGCTCCTTGTGTGAAACTTAAGCAACTTATTTGATTCTTTTATGTTTTTAAAAAATGGCAAAATGGCCACACGAATGCCCGTTTAGTCTTTCTTCACTTCATAGTTTTTTTCTAATACAGTACCTACCAACGCATATGCACATGTATGCACACACACAAATCATTCCCACAAACGAAAGCACACACATCCTATAACTATAGAAAAACATTTGAGAGACAAAGTCGCTAGATGCTAAGATTAAGTCACCACAGATGCCTTGTTATCAACAGCCTACCACTTAGTGAATAGGATTGCTTTTTTCGAACAAATCTAGAAAAATGCAAAAACCATACCAATTCCAGCACTTGAATCCAGATAGACAGTCTCCACGCAGGAAACTTAACGAGTTAAACTATGGTTGGTTTGCATGTCGTGAAGTGAAATTTGAATTGAACTAGCCTATCAACACATGCTCAAGCACGCCATAGAATCTTATGTTACATATAAGTACTAAAAATTTTGTGAATAAATTTAGTATGTATAACTACTCAAAATTGCTTTACTTTCTCTCTCTATATGTACACACGTATATTTCCTAACATAATACATACTTTAGATATAGGCTCTATCTATATGTGTTTTCATCCTTTATATGCAACTTGTTGAGTCTTTAATACGTATAGTTTAAGTTATATCAATTTTTGTTGCATTGCAACTTTTTTGACATTATGAGTATGTATTTTTTTTATTTCAACTATATTGCAAGTTTTATCCATAAGTTAAGTTCAAACTCCAATGCTTTCTAGTTTCTTTTCTTCAAAATATTCTTTTCTGTTTTCATAAAAAATGATTCTAGGCCCCAAACTGCACTCTTGGTTACAACTTACAAGTTACAACAACCACGTAAAAGTTATTTAAGCCCACACCACGACAAAATGTTGGATTTTCACTACCAAATAATCATGTGTAGTAGTGTTTGATTAAAAAAATAGTGTTTACAATTAAACTACCAATATTTATATGTCATAATGTTACGGTTAAAATGTATAAACTTATATAAAGTGCACAGTTTATCAACTTTATTGTCATGGAATATTAATATAATTTAAAATAAATAGTAGTGTCATTTCTATGTGGTTTGCTATGAGGACATTTTTCATGGTTGATAAACTATAAAATTATATATTTATTGCTAATGTATGCATGCTTACTTGGTCTGCATATAGCATTTATACTTGCTTTGAACTTGAACTTAGCAGAAGTGTGTAATTTAAAATATATATAGCGTACTTGATGGTTGTTTAGTTTAATAGTTACATTATGTATTTTTTTATAGTGGCAGAGGTGGATAGTTTTTTTTAGAAAACATAATAGATTCAATTGATATTATTTGCGTGAAGGGCGGGCCTGGTGCAAACGGTAGAGTCTTACTGCCTGTGACCGGAAGGTCCCGGGTTCGAGTCGTGGTCTCCTCGCATTGCACATGCAAGGGTAAGACTTGCCACTGACACCCTTCCCCAGACCCTGCACAGAGCGGGAACTCTCTACACTGGGTACGCCCTTTTTTATATTATTTGCGTATGATGATTAGAGTATATAAATTTAAAGGCAGGATGTTTCTGATTTATCTTTTCCTAAAGGGTCTCATGAAGATTAACGTTAAGTTTCCGTTGGAGGTATCCAATTAGTAATATTTAGATGGTATCTATACCCCTAAATCTATACCCCTAAATAAAAAATCTCTAAGGGTATCGTCGGACGCCCCATTTGTCGCCCCGCTCCTGCCCGTTGCCTGGCTCTGAGTCTGAGAAGTAGAAGGGGTGGGAAAGGAAAAGGAGGAAAGACATGGTTCCAGGTGGGAAAAGCGCAAGAGAGAAAGATTTGGTGGGAGGGCTTAAACGGGTATAGAAACAAATCCAGGGTTCCTGATGCAAAACATCATAAATCTGGGACCGGTTCGCGGAAAAAAGTGCCGCACAAAATTTTTTTGAGATAAAAATATTGGAAACTCTTGGAGATGGCATTCTTTATTCCTCCCTATACCTTTTAAGAAATCAAAACTTCATGTTTTAAGAATAAAAATATTGGGTACTCTTGGAGATAGCTCTAACACAAGCCGGTTACTCGTGCCGAAAAAAATAAAAAAAACACGGTAGACTTATATAAAATATGTTCAACAATTTAAAATCTAATATTTTAAGGATATTTTAATAGTTCCCTCAGCAAAATGTATTTTGCATGGGCACCAAGTTGTGGTCACCAATCCAGAAGATTTGCATGTCTAAGATACGCATCCACTTCTTTCAGCTGGCCTTTGACTTCTTACAACTGAAGCATTGAATTATCATTATATTAGTTTTTCTTTACAGTGCACACAAAAATATAAAACATAATTGTGTGCGCGGCAATGCTTCGCCCCGCTCGCCCGCCTCTGCCAGTCAATCCAGCATGTGCAACATATGATTTTCCATCGGACTATACAGGTGGACCATGGCACACCAATCATGGAAACATACCGATCCGATCCTAGAGCGCGAGAGCATATCCTTTAACATTGCCCTCATCAAAGGTCAGGCGTCCAACATCCGTGCACAACCTCATGGCGAAGTCTACCGCTAGGCACATCCACCAACGAAATCAGATCACACAACACCACAGGGCGCACACCCTTGACGCAGGCCAACAACGGCACCCCGGCCACAACCGCGTGGCCTACCAATGGCTCTGGTCCCTTGCTGAACGTTTGCAACGCACGACGAAAAAAGGACGAGAGCGAGGCGACAAGCGCCGCTGCGTACAACAACAACATCCCGAGTCGGCTCGGCAGCAGAACCACGTTGGTGCCCTGCTACTGCTGCTTCATCCCCGGCCCTGACTGCTACCGTTAATGACACCCTAGAACTTGGAGTGGGCTAGGTTCTGGCCGTGGAACATAGATATAGCGACGAAGATCATCGTTACGACACCCGCAGCCGAGGCCTCGCCACTAACGACGACAAAAAGAAAAAAAAGATATGAATGAATTTTAAAATAATTTAGGGTTCTCAATGCAAAATTGTTTACTAGCTTTTTATTTATTTTTTTGCAAATGATCAAATTAGCTTAAAATTGTAAAATGCATAATAATAAATCACACAAGGATTAGAAAAAATGAAACCGATTTTGTTAGGTTTCTACAAACTAGATCTACATGATATAGGCGACAAATATCATGAAACGGGTGTTATATTTCCTATGTAATTAGATTTGTAGATTTAGTAGTATTTTCTTTAATGCGCTAGTTATAAACCAAATCCCTATGCTCTATGTTGATTTTTCCTTGAATTGTTTGCATTGTTCATGGCTAGGATATGCATTTAGTGACCATCAACACCGCCCTGGCTGAGGTTGTGGATGGTGACTCCGACGAGATTCAAGTCGAAGTCATCATCGCTGCGATCCCGATCAATCTGATGCGGGTTTTGTGCATCCTCTGTAAGGGATCCGAAAGGTAGTGTGGTAGCTTGAAGAAGCTGGGTCTTGCGAGTCACGCCGCGTGTGTTGGTGCTCCCAAGAATTGAGAGTGAATCGGATCGGGTTTCGTGTCCGTCGTCGGGACTGGATCCCTAATCTTGCGAAAAGG